CCCCAGGAAGTGACTCAGCCAGGCCCGCTGGCCCCCACCCCTCCCCAGGGTCTTCCCTGACCTCATACTTCTGCACTTCCAATTTGAGCCGCTCGATGTTGTTCAGGGTTTCCGTGATCCGGGGCTCCAAGCTGGCAGGGTCCCCCATCTGGGGTGTCTTCTCATATACATCCTTCATTTTCTTCAGGGCTTCTCTAGGATGACACAGACAGATCGGAAACAACAGTCCCATGGGACTCAACAAGCCAAAAAAAAAACAAAAAAAAACACACACACCAAAAACAAAACATGTGCTTTGCTTCAAGGAACAAGTAGCAAGACAAGAGGTTAAATCTCAAACGTTAGTGCTTCACTGCCTGGGTCTGAATCCCAGTCTGGGCACATATCCTAGCGAGTCTGGACTAAGTTACTGAACCTCGGTCTCAGGATGCAAATCTGGAACATCGGGGATGACGATACGTACAGCTCACGGGAGCTCAAGACTATAACAGTGCCTTTATTTATCCAAATACATACAGAGTACCTATCACATACCAGGCGCCGTTCCAGGCATCTGAAATAATAGCCCTAAACAAGCCCTAATCAGGGTCCTGCCTCTGCTCAGTCTCAGGAAAACGTGGGAATTCCAGTGAATCTACGTAAAGGGTTTGAGACAGTGTATGGCATAGGGTAAGCACTCTATACATGCTAACTATCATTATCATTAGCCTCCCTCCGGTCCCTGTCTCCTCCAGGACTATATACACAGGCAGTAGTAGTGACAAGCATAGAGCTCTGGAGTATGGCAATCCTGGTTTCAACTTCTTCCCCGTCCTAATACGGGATCCATGTTACAGATGAGAAAACTGAGGTACAGAGAGGTGGGCCAGCTGGAATTCAAGGCCGGTCTGTCTTGGCTCCAAAGCTGCCCCCTTAACCCCTCTACCATAAAAACCCAGGGACGACAAAGTTCCATATGGAACCCTACACCAATAAAAGTTTTTGTACAAGAGGTTCTGTGCAAACGGCAAAACAGAATTTGGCTGCCTGTCCACAGTGGCAAACGTCATTCCTATTATGTAAGGGGACTGGGAAGAGAATCTTGTTGCTTGGAAGAAGTGAGCAAAGATTTTCTTTTTTTCAATCTGGCAGATTTTCTATTGTTAATATTTTAAGCGTTTGAAGTATTAAATAGGTAACCATATGGTTTTTTTCTTTTAGCCAATTAATGTAGTAAATGAGACTAATAGACGTTTTTATATTGAACCATCTTTGCATTACTGGGATAACACCCAATTGATTATGACTCGTCTTTTAAGAAGGTCGTTTTTTTGGGCGCCTGGGTGGTTCAGCTGGCTAAGCGTCCTACTTCGGCTCCGGTCATGATCTCACGGATTGTGAATTCACGCCCCACGTTGGGCTCTGCGCTGACAGCCTGGAGCCTGCTTGGAATTCTCTCCGCCCCTTCCCTGCTCGTGAACTCGCACGTAGTTTCTCTCTCTCTTTTTAATAACACTTAAAAAAAATTTTTTTTTCTCCATTATGGTAAAATACACAGAACACAAAATTCCCCATTGGAACCATTTTGAAGCATCCAGTCCAGTTCCGTTGCATTAAATTACATCCACGCTGTGTGCAATCATTGCCACCACATGATACATCATTTTTAAAATACATCATTGGATTTGTTTGGCTGGGATTCTGCATCTAAGATCATAAGTGAAATTTCAATTCCTTGAATTCTTGCTAACCGATATGGGAATGGATTCCACCAGCCTCCTAAAGGAGCTGGCAGCTTTCACTTTTTCTGTTTGCTGGAGTGACTTAAGAGGGGAAGTAACGCTTTCCTTTTCAGTGTGGTAGGAATCACCTATAAAACCACCGAGGCCTGGGGTTTATTGGCAAGATCTTCGAACACCACTCCGGTACAGTTCACTTATTATTGTATTTCGGTCATTGCCTGCCTGCCCCCAACCTTACCTCTGGTCAACCTCCTTCTGTAGTTCACGGCTCCGTTCTTCAAGCTGTTGCTGAAGTCGCTTTCTTTGCTGCTCTGGGGGCAAGTGGCTGAAATCCTCTGTCACCACTGTCTGCAAGGTAGGAAGACACTGCGTTTGGGATCAGGAATGCTAAGCTTCCAGGCTCTTCTACATTGCTAAGACACACCAAGTCCACCTTCCTCCCCACCCACGGTTCTTGGGGGGCAAGGCCATGCACAGAGCAAAGCAGGTCCGGGTCTGGCAACCGGAGGAGCGGGCCCGGCCGGCGGCAGGAAGCGAGCCCAGGGTCCCGCCACCCAGCTGCTGGGCGGGCTGGGGCCGCCCCCTCCTCCTCCTCCTCCTCCTCCCCCGAGGCCTCACTTACCCCACGGCTGCCTCGAAGGCTGCGGAAGGATGCTAGCCGCGGTTTGACCGACTTACTGATCTCACTCAGTATGGCCAAGGGGTCGAGGCCGGAGCGGGGGGATGGGGGTCCATTAGGCAATGCCGAGGGCAGGGGGCCCCCCAGGGGGGAGAAGGGTGGAGGGCGTGGCTACCGGCGGGGGCAGGGGAGGGGATTGGGTCAGGAGGGGTGGGAGGATGTAGAGAAGGAGGATGGACGATGGACGTAATAAAGAAAAGAGAAAAAACAAAATGGAGAAAAGAAAAGAAAAAAAAAAAAAAAAAAAAAAAAAAAAAAACGGTAAGAAAACCAGAACTCAAGATGCACAATCACACACAGAAAATGCATGCAAAGAGCAACATAAAAATCTGGGATGTGGTGGGGAGGACATTAGACTGTGAGCCAGAAGGCTGGACCCCTCCCTAACCCCCTATGTTGCACCACCGTTGAATCCCATATCCAGTACCTAAGAATGGGGCCGGGGGGTGGGAGGCAGGGAGGCCCAGGTTTCCGTGCACCCAGCTTTCTGGGCTCACAGTCTAGAAGGTAGAGGGAGATACATGCAGGAATCAAGGTCTCAGACAGGTACGTGGCCACAGAGGTCAAAGGCAAGCTAAGAGAAGGACAGAAGTCACGATGGATCAGAAGGGTTACAGGTGGGGTTTAAGCTGGGAGAGTCTCATGTACAAATTGAAAAGGGGTATCAAATTATATGTCAAGAGGGATCAAAAATACAAAACAGGGGTCATGAGATATAACCGTGGGGCCGGGGGACGGTGTCTGAAGATATAACCGTGGTGGGGGGTGTCTAAGTTATAAAACAGGAGTGTCCAGGTATGTGCTTGATATTAAAAGCCAAAAACCCCAAGAAAAAACAGCCTGAGGGTCACAGGCCTGGAGTCACATTGGCAGGATGGAGAGACTCCAGGGGAGTCCCCAGGGCCAGCGTCTCGAGCCCTCATCCAGCCCTGAACCCCAGAAGCAGGTCTTCTCCTAGCATCCTGAGAAGCAGCACACAGACACCACAGGCCCCCTCCCTGCACCCCACTCAGCCTTGGGGGACTCCCAGGCCAATCACCCGGCCGCCTCCCTTCCCTCCAGCCCGGGCCAGCAGCCAAGAGGAAAATTCCTGCCTGGGACTCAGCGTCCTGGCGGCTGGGGCTGACTCAGTGGGGGCCCCCCTGTCCCTACTCACATTCCCCGTCCCAAGGGCCCCGGCCCCCACCTTGTTCTTCTTGCTGAAGGGCCAGCGCTTGGCACGGCTACGGCCCGGGCCTCGGAGCTCAGGCCGTCCATCAGAGGGGGTGCCCAGGCTGCTGTCTGAGGGCACGCGGTTCATGGGCTGGCTGAAGTCTTCGAATTCCACGTCACCCGGGCGGGCGAAGCCTGACTTGTGTAGCTCAATTAGGACCTGGGAGTCCTGTGGGGGGCGGTGGGGGGCGGGGGGGCAGTCAGGGGCAAGACGAGATGCTCAGCCTTTGGGGTCCTCCTACTGCCCACCTGTCAGCCCCCTCGCCCGGGACCAGACACCCACATTCTTGGCATCTACGGCATCCGCAGCCACCTTCATGCCCTCTAGACACTTGGCAATGATGGGTACCACCTGCAGCTCGGCCTCTGACAGGAGCCCATACCCAGCCCCCAGGTGGGTGGCCCGACGCTCATCCATGTCCTGAAGCTTCTGCGGGGACAGAGACAGGGGCACTAACGAGGGGCCAGCAGCAGCGATCCAGCTCACAATCGTGATGGGGCTCCACCCTGGCCCAGCCCCGAGCCGTCTGGTGGGGGAGACACAGAATCAAACGGACCCCACCCCAGGGTGGTCATGGGAGGAGACATGGGACAGGGGAGATTTCAGAGAGGACTTTGAGGAGCTCCCGCCTTGCCAGGGGAGTCAGGAAAGGCTTCTCAAAGTGGGTGACCGTGCTCAAAAAGCAGACCTCACACAGACACTGCCAGTCCCAGGGTTGGGACAAAGAGTAGACCAGAAGGCTGAAGAAGAAGAGGGGAAATGCGAGACCTTTCAGAGGGCAGGTTAGAGCTGGAGCTTAGAAGAACGGACAGAGCGTTCCAAAAGGAAAAGGATGACGTCCCTGGCAGAAAGAACAGCTTGAGTAAAGACAGAGCTCGCAGACCCTGGTTGTTTTTCTAACCGCTTTTCAGCTGAGAGATCGGGACATTGCTGCTGAGGTTCCGACACGTGTGTAAGAGTCGATTCACTCTGGGGGGGTTTTCAGGAGGATGGGGCTGGGGGCCTGGGACACTCACGTCGAATATCTGGGGCATCTGGGAAAAATAGAAGTGGGCCTGGTCGCGGTTGAAGCGCTGTAGTTGGGCTGCGTACTCATTTTTGCTTTCTTCTGCCATGTGACTTCGAAGGTGGGCTTGTTGCTTGGCCTGAGGAGCATGGAGGTAGAAGTTGCTGCCGGGTCCTGGCCGCATCCCGGCCAGACACACCCCCCCCCGCCTCCCGCCCCCATCTCCCCTCACCAAGCCCGTCCCAGACCCTGCAAGTACCTTCTCCACATCAGCCTTGGTGGCATTGATATCCTGATCGAGTCGCTCAGCAGTCTGGGCTGCCTTTTCAGCCTCTCGACAGTCACGCTCAAATTTGCGCTTACTCTGTGTTGGGGGCAGAACCAGAAGGAGGTAGTAGGTTGAGACAGCAAGGTTTCAGGGACTGGCGGAAAGTGACCCAGCAAACGGGGGATGAGGGGCACGGCAGAAGCCCCCAGGGGAGAGGGCTGCAGGCCAGACAATGCAACAGCTCCATGGATCAGTAACCCCCCCCTGGCCCTCAGGGACAGAGCCACCCTTCTCCACACCCACAGACTCACATTCTCCAGTTGTTTGAAGCCACTTTCCAGCTGCTGCTGGGCCCGACGGCCTTCCTGAAAGTGCTGTGCCAACAGAAGCGGTTAGGCTCACCTAGGTTGCGGTAAGCGGCCCCTGAGAAGACCCAGGGAGGGGGAATCGCTCACCATCTTCCTCTCGTGTTTCATCTCCTGTGAGTACTTGGCCAGCTCAAGACACACGCGGACGCTGAGGTTCTCGGCCACCAGCTCCCGCTGGCCCGCAAAGTCATTCACCTCCTGGAGAATCTGCACGAAGGACTGTTGCTGGCTGAACCTGGGGCAGGATGGGAGGGGGCAGCAAGCCAAAGTCAGGTCCCCCCCGGACCCACCTCCATGTAGGAAAGGGAAAAAAAAGCCCCAACACATTCCTCCCGTAAGCAACCTTAAATTCTGGTCCATATCCCTTACCCCAAACCCTTCAGTGGGATACATGTTGGAACTCAGAATTGTTCAGGTTTAGAAAGGGGATATAATGCTGATGTCTTTTTGCATCACCCCAGTGGGGTCAGAGCAGCATCAAACACAGTATTTTTGCAGCCAGAGGCATTAATATTCACACTAAGTGGGATAAAGACCGAGGACGTGATCAACATCAAGTCAGTTTAGGTCAGAGGTTGTTGCCAGACAAGTTACCCACACAATCTTGATTTCTGGAGCTTTTTGGATTCTGGAACTGGGGACCTGGGGTAAAGCGAAATGCTCCTATGACACTTACTATTGCCTAGGCACCGTTTCAATGCATTATCTCAGTTAATCTTCGCATGCGCCCTACAAGGTCACCATCATCATCCCCGTGTCACAGGTGAGGAGAACAGAGGCATAAAACAGAAGTCAATTGCCCAGACTCACTCATTTAGTAACTGTTAGAGCCTCTCTCTCACTTGATAGGAGAGTAAAATGGAAAACTTGAGTCAGTTGCCCAAAGCAGGTGGGCTAGAAAGGAGTGGATTTAGGATTCTGACCCAGGTAATCTGGCTGTTGCAACCATGCCCAGCCCTCTAGGTGGGATCTGAAGCAAGAAGTAAGGGACTTGCTTGGGGTAGCCTAGTGAGGGAGAGGAAGTGAGACCCACACCCCCGGGGCCCCCAAATCTAGCCCTGCAATCCCTCTCCGTCCTTACTTGGATTCCGGGTCATCTTTGGCAGGTCTCTTGGGCAGGTATTTTTTCACCAGGCTCCTAACGGAGGGAGGCAGAAAGGCTGAGCCCCTGGCCCTCCAACAGCTCCCCCAAGCCCCGGGGCGGGTCCACCGTAAGGTCTCACCTCAGTTGCTTTGCATAAGCCTGCTCCACCTCGGTCCGCTCTTTCACGAACTTCACATATCTGTCCAACAGGTCCAGCCCCCACTGCGTGTGCCGCTCGAGCACCTCAAACTGATCCTGGAAGGAGGTGTGGGGATCCGGAACAAGACGCTGGGACCCCACTGCCGGCCGACCAGGCGCCGGAGAGGCCTGAAGGCTCTGGGCTCGGAGAAGGAGTGGCTTCCCGGCCCCGCCCCGGCGCGGCGCGGGGGGAGGCAGGAAACCGGCGGGAACCCCCTCCCCTTCCCGGGAAGGGCCAGGGAACAGGGGCGGGGCCCCAGCCGGACTACAGGGTCCCCGTCGCCTGACCGCCAAGAGGGGTGTGGAATGGGGCAGAGCCACTCCCCCCTGCCCTGGCTCCCCTAATCCCCCCCCTACAAGATTCCGGAAAATCCGGCCGGCCCGGCGTGAGTCAGGCCAGAGGGGCAGGGTTCCCTGCAGCTTGGGGGGCCCAAGAATGTCCAGGGGACAGGCCCCATGTTCCCCGGTTCGCCAAGCTTCCCGGGGTACCCTCCCGATATATGACTCCGTCTCCCCCACTGAGTCCACTGCACCTCCAAAAGAAACGCCACACCGAGTTGTGGGGGAAGCAATCTAGCTATCCCGCTGCACCCAGGAACCCAGGGATGCCACCGCCCCCATAAAAAGGAGGGGTCAGAGGTATGGGTTAGGATACGGGGGAATTTCTGGGGCTTCCAGAGTAGGGATTAGAGGTGGCCTGGGGGCAGCCCCTCCCTGTGCCTGGGGCAGGTTGGGGGAAGGGACTGCGAGGCGAGGCGAGGCCTCGTAGCCCCCTCCCTCCCCAGAGGGTCCCAAGCCCCTAGGTGTTGATTGGCGGCGCCGGAAGGGCGGTCAGAACTTCTAGGTCCCACGTGGGGTTGAAAGTGGCCAGAGGGTCCCCTCCCCCGCCCGAGCGGGACAGGCGGGCGGCGGGCAGGGACCCAGGGGCCGTAAGATAAGCCGCCGGCCCAGCCAGGGTGCTCAAAATAGGTGACCTCGCCCGGCCGCCCCGGCCTTGTGCTAGGACTTCTGCCCTCCTCATTCCGAACCCCGCGCTCAGTTTCCCCACTCCGCTCCTGCACGGTCGCCCTCCGCCCCGGGCGTCCAGAAACGCCCTGGGAAACTCCGAGAGAGGGCGGAAAGCTGGAACTCCAGGGGTCGCTGAAGGGGAGAGCTCCGAGCCCCCGCTAAGGTGTTGCAGGAGCAAAGAGGGAGGGGGTCTGGACTCCAGAAAGAGAGGAACGTGGGGCAGGGCCGATCGGACTCACCCACAACTCGGTGCCCCAATCCATGCTGCTCCCGCCGAAGCCGCCGCCGCGCCCGGTCCCCGCCGCCCGCCGCCGGGAGACTCAGCTCGGGGCGGCGCGCCCGGCCCCGCCCGCCAGGGCCCGCCCACTCCAGGCTCGGCCCCGCCCCCGCGGGCCCTGCCACGCCCCCATCTGCGCGGAGCCCCTGAACTGCGCCCTGAAGGCGGGACCCCCCAAGGAGGCGGGGCCCAACGGACGCCCCGCCCCTTCTTAAAGGAAAGTTGCCACCCGATGCCACTGGGCCGACCCCTTAAAGGACCCCCACCCATTTTCCAAATCCGGCCCCTCTGATCCTCTCCACCCCTGCCCTGCCTGGGGCTGTTCTTACTTTTCTCTTTTCCTTCAACCAACCATTCCTTAAAGGGCCAAGACATTAAAACCCCAACCCGACAGGTCCTTCCTCCACCCCTTCTGTGTAAGAACCTGAGGTCACCCCGCTCTTGTGGGCCGGCCGGGCTCCAGACATCTCTGCTCGTCCCACTAATGGTCTGGTTCTCTCCGGCCACAGGGCGGATGGGAGGACTTCGATCCGGCCCAGAACGCGTCTCCGCCAAGGCCCGGTCCATTAGCGCCCCCACCGCATCCTGCCTTCCCCCTCCTCCCGAAGTCTGCGCCGGGAAACTGGGGACGGGCCGTCCTTGGGGCACCGGGCCCAGGTCTTTCCTCGGCCCTCATCCAGTTCGCGCTTCCACCTGCCCATTTTCCAGTCGCATCCATTAAGACCCAATCAGTCTTCCTATAGTCTATACTGACCCTGGTTCCGACTCCACCTCTCCCTCCAGAAACTCGGGCCCCTGGGGGCTGGAAGTCTGTCACCTCTTTCATAAAAGTCTGTTCGCACCTCATTAATCTCTTTAAGGCACTGGGATGAAAGGAGAGAGAATCCTGCAGCTCCCACCCTCCTGTCTCCAGCCTTTGGTGCTTAGTGTCTACAGAGGTGACAGACGCCCCAGAGCCCCCAGGCACAAGTTAGGCTCTAAGCTCCCAGATTCCCAGTACACACACCAGGGAGCCCAGGAGGATAGCCCCAGAAGCCCACACTGGCACAGATGGCCCTGTGGGGACCTGGCCCCACCTGCTGGTGGCTTCTGAGCTAGAAAACCTCAAGTTGCGAAGTGGGCTGTGCTCCAGGGGCTGGGGGACCAGATGAATCAGTGGCTCAGCCTGGTATTAGAGTCTCAAATTCAAATTGGAATTGGGATTCATTCCAGGTCGGCACCACAGTTGGGATGGGATCTCAGACTGGGGTCAGAAGCTTCGCCGAGGGGTCAGCAACCCAGTAGGGGGTCTGGGACTCAAACTAGGGTCCAGAGGTCAGGCCTAGTCTGGGGTCAGTGCTCCAAGTGGAGGGCTCAACCAGAGATTAAGGCTCAGTGTACGTTGAGGGTCAGAAGGGAATGGGGAAGTCTGGGTTTCAGGCTGATGTCGGGGCTCAGCTGCAGGTAGGGGGACTCAGCCGAAGGTTGGTGTTCAGTCCATTGACAAGTTCAGCCTGGCATCTGTGCATGGGCTTCTAGTTGCCTCGCTCGAGGGAGGGAGGCTCCGCCTAAGGCTGGGATTCAGCCCAGGGTCATAGGTCATCCTAGGGCCAAGATTTAGCCTGGGGCTAGGTTTAGGCCTCCTAGGATCAGGAAGATTAGAACCGGACAGGCTTCGGCAGATGCGTGTGTTTACCAAAAATCTGTGCTCTGGCTAGGAGCCACTTCCCCGGGGTGAAAAGGGGAAGTCCGTCCTTGGGGATATTGGGATATGTAGTTTATTGAATGCCCTGTTGCGCTGTCTGCTCTCACTGCATTCTGGGTAACGTAGTCCTGGACAGACCTTCAGTTGGGCGTGGATGAAGGAGTTCCGCTTCAAGGGCGGGATATCAGATCCATCACAATTGGTTAGGTGGACTGTTTGTCAAATTACATCGGGACAATCTTTCTAATGATTGGTGAGAGCGGAGGTGGGGTTAAGCATTATCAGCACCCCATTCGGAGCCGGTGTTGTCTGTTTGGTGTCGTGCGGGGGTGGGGGATGCGGATTTTCTAGGAAAGAGTCGCTGATTGGCTGGGCGGGCTAGAAATGCCGGAAGGTCGGCCCTCACCGTGCGGCGATTGGCTCAACCGTTGGCGGTGGGGGCGTCAGAGGCGGTATCAGGGGAGGTGGTGGCTCTAGAGATGGCAGTGAGCGAGAGGAGGGGGCTCGCCCGCCGGAGCCCCCCGGAGTGGGGGCAGCTGCTACTTCTGCTGCTGCTCTTGGGTGGCTGTTCTGGGCGCATCCACCGACTGGCGCTGACGGTGAGTCCCGCCGCGCGGCGGACTGGGGCGGGGGGCGCAGTGTTGTCTCGAAGAAGCCCCTGGTTTGGAGTGGTCTCGTCCTACCTCCCCCTCGTCTTACGTGGGATGGAGCGGTCCGGCGCCCCCCGCCTGCAGGCCCGGAGTGGTCTCGTCCGAGGAGTCCTTTCAGTCCTCTGGTGGCGCAGCCTGGCTGGCAGTGTTAGGACTGTGCCCCGCCCGTTGGGGGGGGTGGGTCTTCAGCTCCAGGGAACACCCCACCCCCTCCCGCCCGCCCCTTAGTCCTCTAAATTCTTGAGATTGCTCTGGGGCCGCTGGCACCTTTGGCGCCGCCCAGGGGAGTCCCTGGGGTTTCTAGGATTGGGTTCTCTGGGCACTCACTGGGATCTTGGGGACTCATTTGGAATCTACAAACTGGGAGGTCAGAGCTCGGCGCACCAAGATAAATAACTCTGCTCTTGGGGTGGTGTTCACCAAGTGCGGAGACTTGCAAATGCCCCAGGCTTTCTTTTGCTGGACTCTCAGAATGGTGGCTGGAGGATGTGGGGCTACCCTGTTCCTCCCCGGGGGATTGGTCTGGGGACATGGCCTCCGGGAAGGCCCTCTCAGCCTCTCCCATTACTCTTTGGACCTGTCCTCAATCTAGGGGTACCAGGAGGGGGCCGAGCTCTTAGGGGGACCTCGCGCCAGAGCCGTGGGGCTGAGTTGGAAAGAAGTCTGAGCTGCCGCTGCCTCTTCCTCCTTGGTCTCCGGCAGGGGGAGAAGCGAGCAGACATCCAGCTGAATAGCTTCGGCTTCTACACCAATGGCTCCCTGGAGGTGGACCTGAGCCTCCTGCGTCTGGGCCTCCAGGAGACAGAAGAGAAGGCCCCGCTGGTGAGGGGCTTTGAGGAGTTTGCTGGAGCGGGGCGAAGAGCACAAGTTTCCAAGCCCCCTGTCCTCAGTTTGTAGCTCTGCCCCTCATCCGTGTGGTCTTGGGCAAGTGCATTGGCCCCTCTGAGGCTCCTCATCTGTAACATGGGAAAAACAAAATCTCTTGCCATGTATGCTAGACCCTGAGCTTGGGTTGGTGGAGGGAGGGCATTATTACATCAACATTTTAATTGGGTGAAAACAGGACGGGCTAGGTCCAGGGGACCAGCGAGGGTCTCCCTAGGGAAGTGACATCCACGTAGAGTGGCTCGAGATGGTTAGGAGTTAAAGAGTATGAGAAGCCAGGGGCAGGATGGTGTGTTGGAAAATTCCATGAGTGAATGTGGGACCTAGTACATAGTAGGTGTTCAGTAAATTTGAGGTTACATTTCTATTGCTACTAAAAGAGGTGCCTTGGCGAGGTCTCTGCGCAATCTCTCATTTTGTCCCTTTTTCTTTCCACCTGCCAGGTGGGGTTCAGTCTGACTCGGGTTCGATCTGGCAGTGTTCGATCCTACTCAGTGAGTGGAGGGGGAGGTAGGGAGGGGGTGAGGAGGGCCTGGGATGTCTGTCCTTTACATCTGGAGCCCAGAGGCCCTCCTTTCCCAGAGAGGGGAGCAAGAAGTGACCCTCCCTTGCGGGGTGCACGGGGAGGAGGCAGGGTGGGGGTGGGTTAGTGGGAGTTGGTAACCAAGGTGCCCTCTTACCCACTCCCCAGACCCGGGACCCCCACGACTGTCCTCTCTGGAAAAACAGTAGCAACCTCCTGGTTCTCTTCCTCATCAACACCAAGGATCTGCGGTAAGTTGATGGGCCAGGGGCTGCATCATTTGTGTTTCCCTGGGTGTGATACCCACGTGAGCTGATCAGGTGCAATGAGAAGCCAGCCGGAAAGAACCTCCGTGCTCTTAGGAAGAAAACCACGTGCTTTTCAATTTTGCCTTCCAGCCTTCTGGTTACGGGAAGGAGGGAGAGGGGCAGGGTACCCAGAGAGTGTTGGGGTCTCAGGGCAGAAGACACGGACACAGAGGAGTGTTGTGAGAATTGACAGCAATAGTTAATGCTTGTTGAATGCTTCCTGTGTGCCAGGCAGCATCCTGCAAGCTTTTACAGGTGTGAACTCATCGATTCTTTATACTATTATTATCCCCATTCTAAAGAAGAGGAAACTGAGGCCCAAGAACTGGGATTTGGACCCAGGCAGCCTGGCACCAGAGTCCCACAATACCATGTAGCCTGTCTGTAGACACATTTTCATTTAAAACAATGCGCTGAAGTAGAGTGAGTAAGTCACTGTCACGGGAAGTGACAGTCACGGGTGCAGGCAGTTCATAGATGTGGCAGTCGTCTTGATGGGTGGTGGCCAGTGCTGGAATTGTGTGACCACTGATTCAGCCTGGTGCCGCCCTCAGAAAGGAGATCCCAAGGGCCCAAGGGGCCATTGAGTTCCTCTGCACAGGTCATGCACATGACCCAAGCCTTCAGCCTCACCCTCACGGTCCCCACCCTCACCCCAGGGTCCAGGTGAGGAAGTATGGAGAGCAGAAGAAGCTGTTCATCTCTCCTGGGCTCCTCCCCGAAGCACCTTCTGAACCAGGGCCCTCAAATCCAGTGCACACCGTCACCTCTAATGTGGACAGCGGTGAGTGAGGCTGGCCATGTGAGCGGGGAGAGTGTAGATGGCTAGGGCTGTTCTGGGCCGCCTCCCGTTTTTCTGCTGTCCAATTGTCCATCCATCTCTAAACTCATTCACTTGTCCCCTACAGGGGCCACCACTACGCTTGACAAGGCCAAGTCGAAACCCACAGTGTCCCAGGGAGATCAGCAGGTTCGGGGAAGGTCTCTTCAGGGGCATATGGCGACCCAGGCCGGGGGCCAGCTAATGCTCCATGCAGCACTCTGTCCCCTCAGGGCCCCAGTGGGAAGGACAAGGAACTGATCCTGGGTCTCGGGCATCTCAACAACTCCTACAACTTCAGCGTGAGTGTCTGTGAGCGCCTGTGGCCCCACCTCCTCCCAGAGTGGGGACTCCCAGGCTGAGGCCTCCACTCCCCCTGTCTGCCCCCCACCCCCCAGTTCCACGTCGTGATCGGCTCTCAGGCGGAGGAAGGCCAGTACAGCCTCAATTTCCACAACTGTTACAACTCCAGGCCGGGCCAGGAGCAGCCGTTTGACATCACGGTGAGCAGATGCAGGGCGGCTTTGCCACATCCTCCCTGAGGCCATGCTGTGGACCGGTAGACCGATGTACCCACCTGGGAGATGGGAAGACCGAGGCACGGAGAGGGGGAGCTTGAGAGTGGGAGAGTGAGACTCACACTCATGGCTCTGCGCGTCCAGAGCTGGTATGCCATCCCCACCGCTGCCCCCTCCCCAGGTCATGATCCGGGAGAAGAACCCGGAGGGCTTCCTGTCAGCGGCAGAAATTCCCCTTTTCAAGCTGTATATGGTCATGTCTGCCTGCTTCCTGGCTGCTGGCATCTTCTGGGTGTCCCTTCTCTGCAGGAACACGTAATGCCTGGTTGGGGGGAGGGGGTCCCCCACCTCCTCTCTTCATACCCTCCCATCCCTGCCCCTAACTAATGCCCTCCACCTCCTTCTGTCCGTGACCT